CTTTCCCGTCCGCCAAAAGATCCGAACTGCGAAAATTATCCAACATAATGACAGACGACAATACTATCAGAAACGGCACTTTTAAGCTTACAGTGTAACTTGTTTACGGCGAACTTGACATTATCAACCTATTTGCCGTAATATATATAATATACGAAAGATTCTGATGAAATCGTCATCATGCACAACAGAAGACTAACAGAGATTCCCCGTCACCTGAATGCCGCGGAGTCGAAAACTACGATGACAGTCCAGTCCGTGTTTTTATTGTTTTTGGTTCAAAGCGAGGCTCGACCAATGCGCAGTGCCTTCAGGTCTCTTGACCAGAAAAATTTGAAAAAGAGACTTGTTTAATTAATTCTAAAAACCCAGATTTTTTATATTTTTAAGATTCTTGTTCTTTGTAAAATATAAGGTTAGTTAAATTTTATTATGGCAGGTCCACGCCAGCCCTAAGGTTGCCATATTCAGACCTGCCTTATCAAAATGTATGTGTCTGTATGTATGTATAAATTTCAGTCAAAAAATCGCATTTGCTATAAAAAGTCTTGAATTACTGCAATTAGTTTGTTTTTTTATCTATCTTAGCAGTAGTTTACGTTTTTCTTTTGTGCCGGATTGGCATATTCATATCCTGGTCTAATTGTTGTTGAGTAATTAGCCGTTTACAACATTTTATCACAAGTTGAAGCCTTCTGTATTTTGCTGTCTGCATTATTTAGACTTTTCCTTTCTTTTATTATGTAATCGATTACATAACCTATCTTGGCACTAGTTTTGTATATACAAGTTTACATCTTGTAATTTCTTATGGCCGTATTTTTAAGTTTTTTACTGTAATGCTTATTTTAACCCGAAGAAGGCTTCGCCTCGTGGGCTATTGACTGCTTTACTGTCTGATGCATAGCTTGTGTGAAAAATGCTGAATTAAGGTTATTTCCCAGTATTGCATTGCGCATCCCTACTGCGCATAATTTCACGCGTGATTAGCGCGCGCATTAAAAAAATGGCGGCTTTTTCTTTACAGCTGGACCTTGCCATAGAGGTAAATCGTCATTTTCTCGGAAACGAGTATGGTGACCCATCATTTTTTTTCTGTTGTTTTGAATTGAGTAATAAATTTCTCTGTGTAAAATAAATTTGGACCAATTCTCAGTGTAGAACAAAANTTTGGAAACGCAATTTTGTCCGGCATAGGGTGGATGGAAAACATTTGAGGTGTTTTCAGAATGACAACGCCGTTTTCAAATTTCTTCAGCGTGGTGTGGACGTGGTCTTAGTTGACTTGCTCCTTCTGTAATAAAGAAACGGGAACAAACTATTAAAATAGCGCTTTTCCTTGCTCTTACAAAATTGCCGGTTAGTTAGAAGCTATTGGTTTATTTTAGGATCCTGTTTTGCATCATGGCTGGAGAACTGGAGCTATAATTCCTGAACTAGAGGTACTTACTGTAACAAGTGACATTGAGCTCACTGTTTATGTAATATATCAAACATGAAAGACCGTGTTTGACCGCATTTCCAAACACCGAGAAGAGAGTTGAAAATACGACGCGCAACGGAGTATTTTTGACGAACGTCGAGATGTTTGGAAATGAGGTCAAACACTGTCTTGAGTGATTGATATATCTTCCCAATCGAAACTAAAACTAAGGAGAAAACGGAGAAATAAAATCGTGAAAATCTGTGCTAATTAAGATCAGAAATCCAAACATCATCAGAGTCACGATTTCATTTGCTTAAACTTGATGAATTTTTAATGACTTTGAGAATGCTAGTTTGTCTGGTCTGCGAGCAGGCTCACCTCTGAATCACGCGCGCGAGCGGCGGAGAGCAAAGCGATCTGTCGGCGGGAAGAAGACTGGTGAGTTAGCGCTCCAACGTGAGCCTGCTCGCAGGCTAAGTTTGTCTAGTTATTATGACTTATTTTCTCATTAAATGTTTTAAACTGTTGCCGTGTCTCATTGCGTAGCGTGAGGTAGTAATACCATTTGTTAAGGTGTAAACATTCCATACCTAGTTACTATTCTGAAATGTTTAGGACTAAAAAATTACGTTTTGGGGTTATTCGTTCATAAAAGACGACTGTCAATAGACTTCTTCGCATGAACATAGGATGTTCTGGTTGATCTTAGCACAATTAAACATTTTTCATGCCATCCATCCTTGCCTTTTCCTGTTCTGCGATCTGTATTGCAACTAATCTTTTACTAATCCCCTGAATGGTAGGCTTGTCCAGCCCACGTTCTCAGGAGTTTCATTTTGTTATTCCTTGTTTCTTAGTGGGAAATCAAGCAAAGTAACTCGCTGGATTTCAAGCGTTCTGTTGTGTGGTTAAGTAATATTCAAGATCTGATCATCCAGCTGAAGGTACTCAATTCATATCAAGCGTGTTTGTTAATCACTGCTTTGTATCAAAATGGTCCATAATTGAACTTATTTGATGAGCACATTTTTTATTTTATTTTAGACATTTTAAGTTGTACGCGCAGATAGCTTTTACTCTCTAGACTTTCTAAAAGTCCTTTCCAATTATTCTTCCCTGGCCTGTTAGTTTCGGCGTTGGAAAGGTCGACTTCTCGCGACTTACGTCGCTCGAAGATTATATCGCTTCGCTCGAGGGAGATAGTCAAGGGTTAAGAAAAGGTGGACTTGTGGCAAGTCTATGACTCTCTCTCAGTACTAGTGTACTTTATGGAGCTAGCTTGGACAATTTACCCATCAAGGTTATACTAGAACTTTGTTATCCCGTTTCTTGACGTGTAGGGCTGCTTATTTGTTGCCTGGTGCCTTCTTTACATTTCTAAAGAAGAAGAAAGGACTTTCCAATGCTTTGTACACAAACAAGTTAACTGACGGCTTGAAAACTAAAATCAACAAAATTAAATGTTGCTCTCTGTAGAGGTTTAGAGTCACCTACTGTGTGCTTGTTTACCATTTTAAATTGAACGGTTTCTCAGTAAGAAGCAGTGCCTCTCAAATTATTGTCTGCAAGTAAATTTATAAATTATCATAAAAGTTGTATTTCTTTGTATTTTTTGTCAGGCCTTTCCCCCAAGCGCAAGAAGGGCACACCTTCTAGAAGGGTGGAAACAAGAAAGAAGAGAACTAAGGTGAGGTTAAACAATCACTGAGCCTGGAATGATGAAGCTGCGATGCCTTCTCTCGATTTCATCATTTATACAATGCGCTTATTGGTTATTTTCATACTGTTGATTTGTTCACTTCTATACTGTGGAAATGACTAATTTCTGCAATTTTCGAACTCTAGCCAGTATAGCAATCGTTCCCTTGCGAAGAGCTTTTCCACATTCTGGCTGCGCGCAAATTGGAGCGAGGAAAAAAACATCGATGAAGCAGGGGATGGTGGGGGCAAGCGCCCCACCACCCTCTGCTTCGCTGATTTGTTTTTGCTCTCTCTCTCCAATTTAAACGCAACCAGAATGCGGTAAAGCTCTTCGTAATGGAACGCATGCTATGCAGGCCAGTCAAACCCCTTCAATACAAACACCTTCAGTACAAACACCAAAAGGGCACATTTGAGTGTCTGTATTATAGAGGTAGAGATTATGAGATTAGATGAAATCTGGTTTCCCTGGGGCCAAGTGAACTGTCTGTAACTTAGAGGTGTCCATGTGATGTAGGTGTCCGTAAGGAGAGATATGACTGTGCAGACACTCAGCTATGCCTCTTCGATTTCCGTATTAAGAGGTTCGACTTCATCAAGTATCTGTGTTATTTCTCCCTAAGGCTCTCAAATACCGTATGTATTTTGTTTCCGGACTGATATTGTAAAATACAGTGGTAATACAGTCGGACATTTATTGTTTTGATTGTTAAAAAAAGGGAAGAGTGGAGGGAACACTAGCCTCCTCCGCAGCCGGTTTTGGGGATGTCACGCAACGCTCCCAAAAACGTCTGTGGAGGAGACTAAGGGGACACAGGCCTTGGAGAGTCATTGAAATTTGAAAAATGCAAGTTTTCATCTTGGAAAGTCCTTGAATTTTGTTAACAAGTTCTTGAATGGTCGAGAGACTGAAGGTGAAAAAAGCAATATTGAGGTGATGTTGATGGTACAGGTGTTGAGCGATATAATGTGAAGTACATAAAAGTGTAAGTAATTCTACCTTCAACGGGGTCTTGAGTATTCTGTAGTTTGTGTCCCTGCCCACCTAAACACATTTTACCTGTGATTCTGGAGGAGACGAGTCCTTGAATGTTGCTGAATTTTCCTCTAGTAGTCCTTGGAAAAATGGTCTTGGGGCCTACCAGATAGGGAAGCTAAATAGAGGATTTACCGTACCATTTGTTCTGCTTATGGCAGGTATACGTTGAAAGCGATGTTCAACCCAAGATTTGGCAGCGTCTTTAGGACGTATAACAATTCCACTTATTTCACACGGCGTTTGGTGCGCTTTGCTGATCTCTACATGTCGTCAGTTGAGAACCTGCTGAACTATCCCAGCAACTACACCTTCTACCCGCGCAGAACAGCGCTTCCGCACGAGGCAGTGTTGGATTTCAGATCAAGTGGAATTCCTGACCAGCGCATATTTCCTAATACTTAAGTAAAGCTACTTACAAGTCTGCTAGTGTGGAAAGTGAGAGAAAGTGGCCAGGGTGGTGATTTTGGTCAGACTTGAAGCACAAATACCCTGGCGACTTATTAGACAAACGTTTGGGTGTAAGTGGTCCTTGAAAGGTACTTGTAATAGTTAGAGTGGTTTTCAATTGAGCGTCGTAAAACCAAAACCAAAGTGATCACCCTAGCCAATCACAAAGGACGCAGACAATACAGTGAACCAATGAAAATTCGAAGTAATTGCATGTAGCTGACGTGAGGAGCGGGAAAATGCATGCGAACGCGTCACGATTGGTTTTGGTTGTACTTCTGATTGGATGAAAAAGTGGCGCGAGTTTTTTAAGCCAATCGTGTGGCGTAGAAAGTGCAAAACCGATTACTTTTCGGCACTCAATTGAAAACGCTCTATAAGAGAAACTGGGTGTTTGGTTACTAAACAATTATTGGATGAGGTTTTTATGGTGACATGATTACCCGTAACCTTGAGTGTCCTTGACATGATTATTGTATAATCTGCAGCTAGATGAGGTCACAGGCGCTCATTTCGAAAGTTCTTTGTACGCTTTCGGCCAATCAGAAAAGAAGTAGTGAGTTCAGTGTATAATAATGCATGAAACTTGTTTGAATTCTTTTTGTTGGTTTTAAAGGATAATGTTATTCTGATACAAAATTTTAGTGCAGAGGAAATTATTCTATCATATCTACCATCAGAAGATAATCGACGAATCATTGAAATGATGGATTTAAGAGGTTTATATTTTAAAAAAATCAACTAAAGTTGTACTCGCATTTGAAAGAGATAATCACAAAGTAGAACGTATCACGACTCATTTTCATGTTTATTATGAAAACACGTGATATAGTGCTTTAAATTAAGAGTTTATTTTTTGAAAAACGTTGAAATGTGTACTGATTAAGAAGAGTTTCATGATGAATCTTATAATCTACAACATCTGCTTTGAGACATAGGTAAGTACATCGATTATTTTATGATATACACAGTATATTTATCCGTTTGCAGAGTTCCTTGCACAAACACAATACAAGTTCAGTTCCGAGCGGTATGTGGAAAGTTCAAGTTACCTTGTGCCTCGGTTTCGAAATGAGTCCTTGTGCAAACCTTTCATATGACAATGGTTGATTTGCACGAAAATGAATCTGCAGGCGAAAGACATTTTCATATGAATAGTTTCGCACGAAGAATCGTTTTGACAGAGAGGCAAAAGGCAACTCGGAAATGGCGTATTGCCTAAAGAGAAATAGTTAACTCTTGGCACAGTTGAACAATAAATTGGTTGTTTTTATGCAAAGAATTCTCCAGAACAACCAGTGTGTAAAGGTTACCTGAAAGTTACGACTGTCGTGTAAAACTGATGAAGCCAATCAGATGGCTGGAGAGCCACAATAGGGATCTCAAGCAATGACCATGGCAATGCCCAGGACAACGCGTAGTAAAAAAAAAAAAAATGAATTTATGTATATTTTTTAAGAATTCTCCAATTATTTAGCGGCAACGGGAACGGGAACGTCACCAAACAAAAGGTTTAACGACCAGAACAATGGTTATGCACGTGCGTTATTAATCTTTGTACACTTCGTAACCGTCCT